CATCTAGACTTGTGGTCCCCAGTTGGTCAAACTGTCTGGGAAGGTCATGAAACCACTGAGAAGTGCAGCCTTGCTGATAGAAGCATGTCACTGGGGGCAGGGTTTGCATATTTAGAGCCTCACCCTGCTTCCTGTTCTCTCTCCCTCCCTCCCTCCCTCCCTCCCTCCATCCCTCTCTCCCTTCCTCCCTCCCCCTCCCTTTCCCTCTGTCTGCTTCATGCTGTGGTTCTAGATGTGAGGTCAGCTTGCCGTTCCAGCCGCCATGCCCACAGCTCGCCACCATGCTTCCATGCCATCATGAACTCTTATTCCTCTGGATCCAGAAGCCCCAATAAACTCTTTTCTTCTATATGTTGCCTTGTCATGGTGTTTTGTCACAGCAACAGAGAAGCGGCTGACACAGAAGGCTTGGCTGCCTCTAGACAGTGCTCAATACATTCCTTTGCCTTTTCTGCAGTCAACCTTGTATGTGAGCATGTGCACACACCACTGTGCAACCTCCAGACTCTCCAGACAAACTACAGACATGAGCCCTTCCCACACCCCACTTAAAGTGCTCCTCCTAGGCTGGAGGGTAAAACACCCTCCTGGCCTGGAGTGATGGCTCAGCATCTAAGAGTGCTTGCTGCTCTTCCAGAGGACCCAAGTTCAGTGCCCAGCACCCACATCAGGCAACTCACACCTGTAACTCCAGTGCCAAGGGATCTGATGCCTTCTTCTGGCCTCTGAGGGTACCCCCACACACACATGCACATACACATACATATACTCATGGAATGAAAATAAAGTAAACCTTTTTTTAAATGCCCCTCTTTCTCTAACAATTTTCAGGGTTCTTTGTGGGGAATACAGGAATTCCTGGGTTTGGCACCTCAGTGATCATCTTTATGGCCACTGTTGTATCAAATAAAGTGGCATGTGGATAAAAAGAAAAGGACGACTATGAGACTGTGAAACACCTGTGTGTTACTGTCATCACCCCATACTGTGACACCACCAACCTCCAAGTCTTCCATCAGACTGAGATCCTGAACAGGACACTGCTGTTGTGTAGCTTGTAGCCACACTACCATTCTAACCCTACTGTAAGCCAGAACCTCAAACGTCACGTTAAAGGGTCACAACACTTGCGCAAAGAGGTGGAGACTTCTCTTCACTCTGGGATCTCACAGCCCATCTAGAAAGCAAAGCTTTCTCTTCTTGAGGAACCATTTATACCTCTGTCAAGCAAATGTCCCCTCAAGTCACTTTGAGGAATGGCCAAGAAGAGAAGTTTGCAAACTACGGGTCCTGTGTGAATGCTGAAGGCAGGCACAGCTTTGAATATGGCCAGCTCAAATTCATCAATTTACTTAAAATGTTACACATTTTTCAAATTTATTTTACTGTTTTATGTATGTAAATGTTTGACAGCATGCATGTCTGTGCAGCATGTGAGTGCCTGGTGCCCTTGGGGACTAAATAAGGCATTGGATCTCCAGGGAATGCAGTTACAGATGGTTGGGGGCCATCATATGGATGCTGGGAACTAAACCTGGGTCCTCTGGAAGAGCAACCAGTGCTCTTAACCACTGAGCCATCTCTCTAGCCCCAATGTTATGAATTTTTGGAATTTTTTAAACTATGTTGAGCAGTACTTGGGTATTAACTCCAAAGATGACAGTGTGGTGTCTCAGTGTCATAAGGTTGGGCATGCCTGAGGTATCACTGAGCATGTCCACATGACTGGGGAGAGGATCCTATCATGTAACACAAGAAAGTGATACAAAGTTCTAATTTCGGTGCCCGTAAGGAAGGGGTTTGGGGCATAGCTGTGCCGTCGGCCAGCATTTGCCAGCTGCTGCCTTTATGCAAGGATGGCAAGGCTATTGAAGGGAGAAATCATCACCCTGGCCTCCTAAAGAAGGAGTTTGCAGACCCTGATCTAACATAGCATTTAAAAAAGAAAAACAAGATAGAAGAGAATAAAAAATTCCAGAATGTGTCATACTCAGGAAAGGATGACTAATGTTTCATGAGACAAATGATTCAACAAAATGGATGGATGTAACACATGTAGATCATGCATTATAACATACAAATCCATTTCTCACTGTGAATCAAACCCAAAAACTGGTTTAATGATTCTAGGAGCAGATTAGAATCTGCCCGTGGCTATGCTTCCCACTGAAGGGCACCTGCCATATGTTAAAGATGTGGGTCCAAGGAGAAAAGCAGAGCAAGACTGATGAGTGGACCTAGTTACGTGTCTGGTCACATCCACAGAGAGCATCTCAGAAAAGGTCTTCTCCAAGGAGGAAGACATGGAGCTGCGGCTGGAGATGTAGCTCGGCTGACGGAACAAATGCTGGCCTATGACAAAGAGGCCCTGGGCAACATCTCCAGCAATGCATAAATGGAGTATGGTGTTATATGCCTGTAATCCCAGCCTACAGGAGGTAGAGGAAGGAGGGTCACAAGTTCAAGATCAGCCTCAGCTACACAGCCCGTTAAAGGTAGTTTGTGCTAAATGAGACCCCATAGAAAGAGAGAGAAAGAGAAATAAAGGAAGAAAGAGAAAGATGGAGAGAGGAAGTAAGGGAGAGAGAAAGAGATGAAGTTACTTAGGTAGGCAGCATCACCATCCTACAGAACATCTGCCTTCTATGGAGATAACATGGCTGAGACTCCTCAGAATTAATGTAGAATGTGACTATGTGTCTAGCCTCAAAGATCCATCTCTATGATGACTTTTCATCACTCTTCAACATAATGTCATCAATTCTGCAAGGACTCAGAGGGAAGAGACACAGGCACTAGCCCTGGAAGCAGTCATAACAGAACAGCCATGCTGTGCCTGAACCTTAAACATGGTTATGATAATAAAGTCTTTTATTCCACATTTATCAGGAGGAACTGCACGAAACCCACTGTACTGATTACTTTGGTCTCTCAGAATGTCTTACAGTCTCAGGGGGTTCTGTCCATCAAGCAGGGAAGGCATGGCAGGGCAGCTCAGTGCATGTGGCAGAGGCAGTTCTCATTATGATGGACCAGAAAGTGGAGAGATAAGCAGGAATCGGAGAGGGGGCCATGACCTTGAAAGGCCTGCCCTGAGCATCCTGCTTCTGCGAGCAGACCTCCTCTCATCCAGGTTCGGTCACCACCTAAATAGCATCAACCTCTGGTCAGCAAGAGCTCAAACCCTGAGCCCATAGGACATTTCACAGTGAAGACAACACCTGCCCACTTCATCTATCACTCAAAACCGCCCCTTGTTTGGAAACAACTATGGCCTGGGTTCCCCAGTCCCAACTACTGAGGTACAGAGTGGGCAAGCAACTCATCTAATGTGACCCAACAAGGTCAGCTGTGATTTTGAGCCAGACACCAGCAAGTCCAAACCTGCCCTTCAGATCATGTGTCTCATCAATTCATGTCTACTAGAGATAAAATAAATAAATAAATAAATAAATAAATAAATAAATAAATAAATAAATAAATAAATAATAAATAATAAATAAATAAATAAACCACTGAACCTGGTGGTGACAAAGTTCTAGACAAACAGATCTTTCTCGTGGAGATTGTCCTATGTTGACAGTGCTACAGCCACCAAAGTCATAAACCACACTCAGTAATGCTCTGCAGCTCCACACTCTACAAATGTAGCCTCGCCCATATTGAACTGTCCCGAGATTTGAATGATAGAGGCGTAACTCAAATCACCTTTCCCGCCCCAGCCCCAGCCCCAGCCCCAGCCCCAGCCCCAGCCTTTGCCTGGTACCCAGCCTGAAAGATGTTTTTTCAATAAACATTTTGTGCCATCTCTCCACCTCCTGCCACAGACGGCTCTGTGGAAGCTACAGCTTTCCTAACGTGATTCATCAGAGAAATCAAGAGGGAAAGGCATCGAGATCTGATATACTGAGCTCTCTTAAACTTCACAGCAGCTCCTTCCAGGATGGCGAAGGAGGGGGTGGGGCAGGGAAATAGTGACTAAGGATCCTCAGCTGGCCCCTACTGAGAACTGGGATGCAGAATAGGTCATTAAATCACATTATAGAAATTCGGTGCGTCCATCCAGACACAAGGTAGGCAAGCCAGAATGCCTGATGCACAGCCTGAGCGGCTCAGAGGACGCTGTAATTCTTCACAGAACACACTCCTCATAGTTGGGTTGACTTCTACATGACATTTCCTAGGAGGCTGGAAAACCAGATCATTCATTACACAGAGCCTAGATCAATAGAGTAAGTGTGGGAAGCCGATACAAGAAAGAAAGAGAGAGAAAGAAAGGAAAGAAGGGAGGGAGGGAGGGAGGGAGGGAGGAAGGAAGGAAGGAGGGAGGGAGGGAGGGAGGGAGGGAAGGAGGGAAGGAAGGAAGGAAGGAATGAAGGAAGGAAATATAAAAAGAAAATTCCCCATTTTATATTTAAACTTCAAGATTAAGAAAGGAAAAAAATAGCAAGATCTCAGGTGCTCAGAGTTCATCTTTCTCCTTAGACACCATTCAGAGAGGAAAGTGTTTGTGCTCATTAGACAAACAAAACTAAAGTAGGGAACAGATCGATTGTTTTCACTTCCCTTCTCTTTCCGTTTTCCTTTCCTTTTTTAGTGACTGTCATGAGCGTCGAGCTGACAAGGGTCTGAGAAATTAACACATCACTCGGACTTACCGTGTGAGATTTAACTTTTGATAAACAACAAAGTGGGTTAGCGCTGCGCTGGCTATTTTTAATCCGCCTTATGAGGGTGCTTTTTTATTGCTTTATACAGCATATCTGATTCCCTCTAAAGCACGAACTGAAAACCCAATCCAGCTGTCATTCGCTGCCCAGTAACATCTATCATCCCACAGCCTGGCAGGTCTAGTCTATGAGGCAGAGGGGAAAAAGACAGGGGGCAGAGTCAAGGACTGTCACATGGGATGAGGGAGAAAAAAGCACTTGTCACAATTATTTATGACTCTTGCTGGGGCTCATCATAGGACACACAAGCCCCTGGTTCAGTGTGGAGCCCCCTCACCACTCAGCTCCCTGGTCGAAGCAGGATGCGAGCAGTTCTGCTTTACACATACGATTTCCTGAACAATGCAAAGCACTCGCCAAAGGACAGTGACAAATGCCAGGGAGCTGTTGGCTGCAGCTCTGTGGGCCGCTGTGAGCAGCAGGGCGCCTGGAATCAGGAGAACAACCATGTGGGGTCCCCAAGCCTCCTGCACCCCCCACTTCCTCCCTTCCTGGTAGAAGACCTCATCCTTCCTGCAGCTTTAAAGTATCGTGGGGAACAGATATTTAAAGAACACAAAATGGTGTGTTCCAGCCCAGATTTGACTACAGGAAGCCATATTTATCCTCTTCAGGATGGAATGAGCTTTGGAATTTATTTCTACCTTCCCCAACCCCACCAACATACTCAGAGCTAAATGCCAACAGCCAGAGCTCATCCTTTAGGCTTGTTTTCATACCTGTTAAAGATCTACCTTCTAAGAAGTTGGTTCAATTAGTTCTCTGCCTCTGGATGCATTTTAAAAAGCAAGTGCTGGGCTGCTGGTCATTTTATCCAGTTCAGTGATCTCGGACCTGCTGCAAGGCCCTTTGGTTTTGGTGGTCTCTGACCTTTGACCCCACCACCCACCCAGCAGAATTTAAAGGGAACTCCATCAGCATTCTCACTATCCAACAGACCATGGCCACATGAACAGCTGAGCTTGCAACGTTTAAGATAATTAAACGTAAAATGGAGGTCTAGCCCAATAAATGACTTTTGTGCACTTTGTGGGGTGACATTAACCTAGGACCTGCATGCAGACCTCAGGCACTGTGATATCACCTGCCCAGGCTCTGAAGATGAGCCATGGCAAAGACCTTAATTAAAAATAATAGAGACAGATGGCCTGTAATACCCTGGAAGCCAAATCAGAAATTAATACAAGGAAGAATAAAACCCATGAATAAATGCTCCCAGGACCCTCAGGAAGACTCCAACGACCTGCTTAGAATTCACTAAACCAAAACTCGGCCCCTTCGGTCCTGAAATGGTGTCCTAGGCCATGATAACAGAGCAGCTGCTCTCTCCCCTGGGCAAGGCCAGCCTCTCATTGTGGGCCAAGAGAAAGCAAACTCTATGAAGCAGTTACTACCATGATACGACGGGACCCTGCACATCCTTGTCTGAGGCCTCGAGGGCTCTCTCTGTGAACTTGAGACTTTAGGAAGTAAGAAGGCTGCCAGGGATCGGCCACGACTCCCCAGCTGCTCGGGATTCACAGCACACTGCCATCTCCTCTGCCCTTGCTCCCCCATCTCCTGAGTGGTGCGGAGCTGAAGTTCACGGCCATCCTTGGGCTTGCCCGGGTCTTGTCTACCAGGTGGCTTTCTTTTCAACACTGTTTTAATATCTTTGAGCTGAATATAGATCTGACAGAGCGCTAAAGCCCTCACCTCTCACTCACACTGTTCTCCCCTTCACACTTTTATGGTGCCCATGTGGCCTCCGATGATGTCTTTTTGCGACACCTCTTCCCCTTCTTTCCTATTACTTTTCCATCGTCTTGTCACATATATAGAGAACAAGGAGGTGACCTTCGCCACCCCCTACCCACCCACACAAGCATGCACGCACACACCTGTGCTTCTCATGTTCCCAAAAAAGTAAGACTGAACCCATCCCTTCTCCATCTCCTTCACAGGAGTGTGAGCAGTTCCCTTCCCTCTGGCGCTTCTCAGTGTCTGTACAGGAAGATGGACTCGGGAGGACTCAGGCTCTGGCCAGAGATCTGTGTCTAGGAGGCACACTCCTCCGTATATAGCCACTGCACTAGAATTCCTATCTGGCTTCCTGTGATGAGGTTGGCTGGTCCAGCTCCATTCCCAAAGCAACCATAAACTGTCACAATGCAGATGTGACACTCAGAAGGGGCTGTTCTTATCTTCAACAACTCCTTTCACCCTCAGATGTCTGCTGAGCACCCAGGGGCCAGGGGTGGTTGACCAAGTGACCAGATGAGAGGAAGTTGGGTTTCTGCATTTGTTCCATGCTGCTTTCAGGTGTGAGACTCAAGGGAGCTTGGTCGAACAAACACAGGTGAGGCAGGGAGGCCCCTCAACAGGGTGACCTGCCCGTAGCTGGGAGCTCAGAGAAGATCTCTCTTGGGAAATGGCAGCAGCCAAGCTGGGTCCTAGAAGATGAGTTGCAGTTACTCACGTTGATGACTGGAGTGAGTTATTTTGTCACCCTGCAAAAAGGGTCACATGGGCAAACGTAGGTGGAACAGCTTGCGAGCTTAGTCAGCACCCTTGCCCAAAGAGGAAAGTGATGATCCACCCTAAGTCACTCAAGTGCAGATCAAGGGCAGTGGAGTCGGATCTTGTCACTGCACCCACTCATAATGACATCAGCAGTCACCGTTTCACGGGCTTGGCTTCCTCAATGTTAAACCCTGATAATAATACCCAATTCATTAAACAAGATCACACCCAGTGAAATCTTCTGGGACTCCTGTCCCTCACATAGGTACAGAAGTGCTCAGTTAATGCCAAATTTCTCTTTAATTACTGTGTGTCTGGCATCCAGACAAAAATGGAAGGAAAAAGGTAAAACTATAATGAAGAATCAGCCAGAGCCAGCCCTTCAGAGTCTGAAGCAAAGGCAGCTGTCTGTCATGGAACCGTGCCCTGTGGTGGGCTAAGCAGCTCCGTGTCAGTGACCTCACTCATTTCTGCAATGACCTGGTGGCCAGAGCCAGCATAACAACTTGAGGCAACAAGTGTGTCTTGCAGAACGTACATCTTAGGCAAGCACCCTCTGTTATTTTTAAACGATCTGCAGCTTTAAAGTGGCATCTGCCTCTTTGTTTGTGATAGTAAGAAAGTAGTCTTAACTTTTGTTTACTTTCTTAAGCCTACTCTATAGAAATAATATGGAATAATTTATAGTAAAAATATACTAGGGCTCATTAGATGGTCCAGTGGGTACAGGTGCTTGCCACCAAGCCTGACAACCTGAGTCTGATCCCCCAATTCCACACAGCAGGAGAACTGACCCCCACAAATGGTCCTCTGACATCCCTCTACATATACATCGTGACCTAAATGTATGCACACATACACTTAAACAAATAAATGTGATAAAAATATTTTAAAATGTATAAGATGTCTAGGTGTTTCTTTTAAAAATTACCAGGAAAAAAATAATAAAGGGGAGTGAGGCAAAGAGGAAATAAAAGATGAGAGGTTTGCCCTCACTGTGGCCTGTGCAGACCCATGGTTCCCATAGGCTAAAAAAGTGGCAAAATGTCTCAGATGATTGACACAGGGTGAGGTAATGGGGGCTGTCATTACACTTTTGTCCATACTTGGTACATGTCTCACAATCTCTAGAACCAGATGTTCTATGTAAACAGGTATTGGCTGTGTGTGCTTGTGGTGATATTGTGTTCCCCAAAATATTGTGCACGCTAATAAACTTATCTGGGGTCAGAGACAGAACAGCCACAATATTAAACATAGAGGTCAGGCAGTGGTAGTACACACCTTTAATCCTAGCATTCCAGAGGCAGAAATCCCTCTGGATCTCTGTGAGTTCAAGGCCACATTGGAAACAGCCAGGCATGGTGACACAAGACTTTAATCCCAAGAAGTGAGCCTTTAATCCCAGGGAGTGATGGCAGAAAGCAGAAAGATATATAAGGCGTGAGGACCAGAAACTAGAAGCTTCTGGCTGGTTAAGTTTTTAGGCTTTTGAGCAGCGGTTCAGCTGAGATCCATTTGAATGAGGACTCAGAGGCTTCCATTCTGAGGAAAGAGGATCAGCTGAGGAATTGGCGAGGTGAGGTAGTTGTGGCTTGTTCTGCTTCTCTGATCTTCCAGCATTCACCCCAATAACTGGCCTCAGGTTTGGTTTTATTAATAAGACCTTCTAAGATTCCTGCTACATGAGCTATTTCATTCACTCTTTTTAACTGATGTGCATCTTCTCGTGTGCTGAGATCATGTGGAGCTTTGCCCCCAACAATGAACCATGCAATCTATGTTCTGAGAAAGGAAAGACCTAGAGTTCCTTGGTCTGAGTGTCTCCTCCTCACGGCCAGCCCACTCTCTGCTCTTTTTATAACATGTTAAAGATTTAAAGAGTCAGTTACGGAAGGAATGTCTGGGTGAATGTCTTAGAACTACAAAATAATGTTCGCTGCTCCAGGTGTCCCTGCTCATCGGAAGAGACAAGAGTGTGTCACTGTGTGTGCCTCAGGCTGAGTCCCTCACACCCCGGAGGCTCAGGGGTTAGTGCATGTGGTTTGCCGGGTTCTCGGGGAGAATAAAGTTAGCAACAGGATTTCAGGCTTCTGTTTGGAGGCATGCTGGTCTGTTTTATTTATCTTATTTTTATTGTCTTGATTCATTTTATGGATACCGTCTTTTGACTCAGATTTTCTTCCCGTTTTTAACAATTTGACAATAATAAATCGGGAAGAAAGTGTACACACACTTTGCCATCTCCTTCTGTCTCCCACCTTCATCACATTTTCCCACGTCATTCACTGGTATATGTCCTCTGTAGCCTCCCCATCATCTCTTCCTCAGTTACCGCTGTGATGAGACACCTCAACCAAGACAACTTACAGAAGCGTTTACTTGGGGTTTACTGTTTCAAAGGGTTAGGGGCCGTGATGGTGGAGCAAAGACGTGGCAGTAGCATCAGCTGGGGGCTCACATCTTCACCCACTAGCAGGAGGCAGAGAGAGTACTTGGGGAATAGCCAGTTTTTTGGAACCTCAAGGGTGGCTCCCAGTGACACACCTCCTCCAACAAGACCACACCTCCTAATCCTTCCCCAACAATTCCACCAACTGGGGACCAAATCTTCAAATAGATGAACCTAGAGGGCTCATCCTCATTCAAACCTCCATGCCTGCTGCCATTTGTTTGTGTAGGTTTCCAGTCATACACAATTCCACTGTTTCTCACAATAGCTCCACGAGGCAGACAGCTAGACAGCTGCATCATGTACAAATTCCACCATGTGAATTAACAGAAGAGAAGAACGAGAAATGAAAATGGCTATCTAGCCAAGTAGGTGGTGGGTACCTGTAATCTTAGCTCCTTGAAGCTGAAGGGTCTTGGGTTCAAGACCAGCCTGGGATACATAGTAAGAGTTTGTCCCCAAACCAAGCAAATGCACAAACAAGAAGTCTAGTGGCAAAGCTGATTTCCTACCCAACTCCATTGCCTTCCGTGTTGCCTTTTTGTAAAGTGCACTGCTGTGCACTCTATGTAGTTGTATACGTGACACTGTGTGTGTTCTGGTTTGCAGCATTATGAAAGTTCTCTGGCAGCAAGCTCAACTAAGTATGAGCTCATTTAAAATGTAATACCTGAAGAAGCTACTTTATTACATATTCTATAGATATGAGCATGGGACCTAAAATGGTCAACATTTTATCATATGGATAAAGATATGATTATTTCAGCGAATAAATGGGTGGTTCCTAGGTGCTCTCCAGTCCACATAAGAACAAAGCTTTCTTGTTCCACTCATGATTAGGCAGTCATGTTGGTGAGATTTTATGGGTGTAGCTTCTCACATTCCTGGGAGACACAATCTCACAGCACACTCCCTGATCCTCTGACTCTTACAGTCTTTCAGCCCTCTCTCCCACAATGATCCCAAAGCCTTGAGTCTACGTGGGGGTGGTATTGTAGATGTATCAGTTGAGAATGGGCTCCACAACTCTGCATCTTGATTGGTCATAGTTTTCTGTAATGGTCTCTGTCTGTTGCAGAGAGAAGTCTCTTGGTGAGGGGTGGGGACTACACTTATCTGTGGGTATAAAGACAACAAACACACTAATGTGGGTGGAGGAAAGCCCCGGAGTTCTCGACCCTACACAAAGAACTACAGGCAACTAAGGAATGAGAGTGGGAGAAACAGTCTTCCCCGGGAACAAACACACCATTGGTTACCCAACACCAAGTGGTTGGCCCTGAAAATATACATATGAGTAACATTATACAGACTGAGCAGGTTGTACTTGTGTGTTTAAGAATATAAATATAGATGTACATATATACATAGATAGGTAGATGTTAGATAGGTAGATCAATGATAGATAGATAATAGAGAGAGAGATTAGATAGATAGATAGATAGATAGAGAGAGAGAGAGATAGATAGATAGATAGATAGATAGATAGATAGATAGATAGATAGATAGATAACATTACATATACATATATAAACACACCGTTTGTGTGTGTGTGTGTGTGTGTGTGTGTGTGTGTGTGTGTGTGTGTGTGTGTATGATAGTTTCAATAGATATGGTCCCCATAGATTCATACATTCAAATGCTTGGCCCATAGGGAATAGCACTATTAGAAAGTGTGGCCTCGTTGGAGGAAGTGTGTCACTGTGGGTGTGGGTTTTGAAGTCTTATATGCTCAAACTGTGCCCAGTGTGGTATACAGTCTCCTTCTGCTGCCTGTGAATCAAGATGTAGAACTCTCAGCTCCTTCTCCAGCACCAAGTCTGCCTGCACACTGCCATGCTTCACACTGTGATGATAATGGACTAAATCTCTGAAACTGTAAGCCAGCCCCAATTAAATGTTTTCCTTTATAAGAGTTGCTGTAGTCATGGTGCCTCTTCACAGCAATAGAAATCCTAACTAAGAATATATATATATATGGCTGATATAAATCAGCAATTATAACAGCAATTAATGAAGAAAGAGGCTATGAATTTGAAAGATAGCAAGGAAAAGAATATGGGAGGAATGGGAAAGGGGAAATAATGTTAATTATATTGTAATCCCAACAATTAAAAGAAATAGTATTTTTAAAAGGAGAGAATGGGACTTACGTTCTAATTTTCATTAGTTTTCCATTAGCAAACCATAGACTGGAGTCTGTATAAGGGAAGAATTGGCCAAACTAAAATGGGAATAGTGACTCACCCATTTCCACACACCCAACTTTGTGTTCTTTTTTTTGTCTTTTTTCCATCAAGTTCATTTTGTGCTGCCTGTATATTCCAGGATACGTGGCCTTCCCTGGAGCATGGTCAACCCACCACAGGCTGCAATTAAAGAAAACTAAGTCTCCCTCTCCCAGGAGCCATCAACTGTCAATAACTCAGCACTGGGATTTTGTCTGTCTGGCAAATACATTTAACATGGATACTTGAAGAATTCGTTTACGAACATCTTATTATAAGATTTCATTATCTGTGGGGTTTTTTTTTTTCAGAATAAGTTTTAAAAAGTAAGAAAAAAAGACACCACTATAAACATATTATTAGTTGAAAGAAATAAACTTTTAGTATCACCTATTATTTCAAAACGAAACGAAAACAGCAATGAAGGATAATGGGAAGAGCGGTGTTTTCGGGAGACATAACTGGGTTCGGTTCTCCGTGCCTTTCGCAGAGACTTTCCCAGATGAAGCCAGCCTTCTGGAGAGGCCTTCGGAATCCCTGCCCTGCAGAAAGTGGAACTGACAAGAATCGTTTTCCACTTCTGCCAGAACCATCTTCAGCACCTCCCAGTTTCCTGTCCCCACTGACTTTTCCTCATTCTACAGCAGAACAGAACTTTCCCTGGGACCTAGGTGAAACCAGAGGCTCCGTATCTCCCCATTATTAGGAGACTTGGGTCACCTTCATAGATCCCTGGGAGTTTTCATTGCTTGTCCCCAAAATGCACCCCCAGTTCCAGTTGTCTTTCCAAGTACTCTCTCTCTCTCTCCATCTCTCCCCACCTGATCCCTCCTATTCCCATCCCCACTTGCCCCCAGTCCACCTATGATATCTATTCTATTTCCCCTTCCCAGGGAGATTCATGCATTCCCCAAACTTGAGCCCAGAGACCTAGGATGAACCAAACACAACCAGAAAAAAAAAGTCAGTGAAATGATTCCTAATGATATTCTGCTATACTCATAGACAGGAGCCTAGCATAATCCTCTTCAGAGAGGCTTCATCAAGCAACTGATTAAAACAGATGCAGAGACCTACAACCAAACATTAGGCAGAACTCAGAGAATCCTGCAGAAGATGGAGAGGAAGGATTGTAGGAGCCAGGGGTGGGTCAAGGACACCACAAGAAAACCCACAAAATCAACTAACTAGGGCTCATAGGGGCTCACAGAGACTGAACAAACAATCAGAGAGTCTACAAGGGTCTGACCTAGGCCCTCTGCATATATGTTTGGTTGTGTAACTTGGTCTTCTTATGGGACCCTAACAGTGGGACCATGGGTTGTCTCTGACTCTTTTACCTGCTCTTGGGACCCTTTTCCTCCTATTGGGTCACCTCACTCAGCCTTAATATGAGGAGAAGTATCTAGTATTATTGCCATGTTTGGTTGATATTCCTGGGAGGCATATCCTTTTCTAAAGTGAAACAGGAATTGTGGACGGGGACACTGGGAAGGGAGGAAAGAAGAGAAAATGAAGTCAGGATGAAACATATGAGAGAAGAATAATTTTTAAAAAAAAATTAAAGAAAAGGAAAAAAGATAGGAAGAAAGGGAGGGATAGAGAGAGGAAAGAATGGAGGAAGAGAGGAAGGGAGGAAGGAAGATGGGAGGGAGGGAGGGAGGGAGGAGAGCAATGTCAGGGGAACAGGAAAATTCACATTATGGAAATGTAAGGATGGACAGGCTTGTGCTCTGTCCATGAAGGAAGTTAAGGTTGAAGGAGATAAGAATCATACAACGTCACTTACCCACGGAGCCTGTGCACAGAGGAGCTGGCTAAGAGCCTGGCTGTACTCTGCTCTCTGCTGATCTCATCTTTACATGCTCAGATCAAGGATTGAAGAAGTGAGTATAGCTACCTCCAGTGTGGGGAATATTCCACTAAACAATCTCCCTGTTTTGTAACTTTGGGGGGAAGATGTAAAATTAACAAGTGACCCCCAACCTAGGACAACATTAACATCCCAAAGAATGGCTTTCCAAAGTCCTCTTGGTGAGTAAAATGAGTTGGTTGCATTAGGAGAAAGCTGCAAAGGTGTGGGTGCCAGTGGACAACTGCATTTTCCAGAATGTCCAGCTGCATCCTCCAACCCCATCTCCACTTACCGAGGTACTTTATGCAGTGCATGGCTACAGAAGAATTATTTCGAATGTGAGTTCGGGTCGTTGCCCAGTGTCATAGCAGCAGAGGTGACTGCACTTAGCACAGGCCCAGACAAAAGCCGAGTCTAGGAAAGTTGTATGTCTATGTGTACTGGATCCTCACCCTTGTTAGAGATTCTCATGCTCTCAGCAAACATAGTCTGTCCCTAGAAAGAATGGCTTGTCTTACTGTAACACAAATTGCTAAATAGTCTTATTAATAAAAAAAACCTAGAGCCAGATATTGGGGTGAAAGCTGAAAGATCAGAGAAGCAGAACGAGCCAGGCACAAGTTCTTACCTCTATGAAACCCTCAGTCTTAAGAAAGTGAGTTCCTGTTTCCTCACACCTTATATACCTTTCTCTGCCTTGCCATATTACTCCTGGGATTAAAGGCGTGTGTGCTTCCCAAGCAAAGGCATGAGATCTCAAATGCTGGGATTAAAGGTGTGTGCCACCACTGCCTGCCCTCTGTGTCTAATCTAGGGGCTGGCTCTGTCCTCTGATCCTAAGGCAAGTTTATTAGTGTACACAATATATTACCACATCTTACTCTGTAGTCTAGAATGTAGAAATGCAGCTTGTTACAAGAATTACTCTGTGTAGGATTCAGAACACTCATCTCATTACATTACCAAATGAGAACATAGCCACCTTGGTGGTTTGGTTTGATTTAGTTTGGTTTGGTTTGGTTTGATTTAGTTTACTGAGTTGAGATCCCATGTGGCCCAGGCTGGTCTCAAACTCACTTTATAGCTGAAGCTGGCATTGAACTCCTGATCTTCCTGCCTCCACCTCCCAAGCACTAAGGTTAGTTATGCAGCACCATGCAGAATCCCATTCTTGATTCCTTGGGAAGCTCCAGAATATCTACACCATACCACGTTCTCACTATTGTGGTTTTGATTTGCATATGTATGATCATGGTTTTTATTTGCATATGCATGATGGTGACTTGCCCTGAGCACCTCTTTCTACCTGCAGACCGTTTCTGTCTTCTTGTGGAAATGGCGGCTTCAGTCCTTACACATTTTGTCAATTGTGCTGTTCCTTTTGTTATTGTCATCACTGCTGAGTTGTGTGACTTCCTTATATGTTTCAGACATTGATTCCTAATTGGATATATTCTTCAGAATACTTTCAATCTGAAGGCTGCCTTTTCACTTAAAGAGAAGTCAGTTATTATATATGGTGATGATACATACCTGTTCAAAGCTGCAGCTATTGCGTAGCATGGTCAACTATACCGTATGCTGGCAATTTACAAAGACCATGCGTTACCAGCAAGGAAATGGAGAAGAAGTTTATGGGATGGTGGGGGGGGGGTCAATTTGTTTGACTGTTGCCATCCCTCAAGAATGTATATGTATATCAAGGTAAGTATACAAAAGCATTCATGTGGTCCACTTTAAGCATATCCAGCTCTAAAACTGGATAGCCCAGGACGTTGATGAAGAGTAGAAATGTAGGCAGGACAATGAGACCCATGTCCTGAGACCCCATAGATACGGCACGTTCGGGTCGCATTCAGTGCTCTTCATAGCAGCTTTTCCTGGCCATACTTTGAAGTGCTGTTCTCTCTGAGTGACACTGTTTCCCCCATCTGGATGGAATGGTTCCTCCTTGTGTTTCAGATTTTTGGGTGAATTGTTGAAAAGATACACAACAAATCACATTCATTTTCCTGAGCTCAATCTATGACAGTGGGTTAGTCATCTTGTTATTAAGTAACAGGACAGGTTATCTATACATGCACACCCCAACATGAAGGAAAGGATCCCCTCCCTGAAATACAATGGCTTTGTTTGCTCTGTCAGAAATGGTTCTCACACTACAGGGTGGTGACCACTGACGCTTGTCTGTCTTTTCAGAAAGTGCAACCATAGATAATGTCGCTAACCAGATAAAAGACTCTTTGCCTCCTGACATTGCGCCTTGGAATGGGCAGTAGAATGACAGCTTTGGACATGGCTGGTGCCTGCATGACTTTCTCATTCAAAATATTCATTCTCCACAATAGTTCCCGCCTCTTCTGCTGGAGCCAGGACTATCAGACAGTTCTGTCTCACATCCTGCTTGGCATTTACAGTGTCTGAAATGGTCTTGTTTAATAATGGTAAGGCTCTATTGCCGACAACAATACCTCCATGTCTCATGGAAATGAACATTAGAGTCGGCCTACAGAGAGCCTTCACCCATACTGGATAGTGTTCATGGTACTGAAAGCCACTCTGCTGCTACCAGAGGAAAAAGATAAACACCAACCAGCTATAAACCCTCCGATTGACAGTGGCGACCTGCCTGCCACGTGATACACTTGTGCAAGAGTGGCACTAATCTTGTGGGAGTAACCAATCACTGTCTGACTGGACTTAAGGCCCACTCCATGAGATGGAACCCTTACCTAACACTGTTCAGGTAGCCAAAAAACTGGGACTAGGCAGGGCATGAATCTAGGGAAAAACCAAATACTATTGCTCTGCTATTAAAAAAAGTAACAATATAATGACTCCTAATGATATTCTGCTATACTCACAGATCAGTGTCTTGCTCAGTCATCATCAGAGAAGCTTCCTCTTGCAGTAGATAGAAACAAATACAGAGACCCACAGCTGGACAACGTGCAGAGAGTGAGAGATCTTGGAACACTCCATTTTAAATGGGATGTCTCTGTCAAACCTCTCCCTTCAATGTTCAGAGAACTTTGTGGAAAAAAAGGGCAGAAAGATTGTCAGAGCTAGAAAGGATCAAGACACCAAGGGGAAGAGGCCTTCTAGCCATGTCAGGGCTGAGGGACATATGAACTCAGAGAAGCTGAGACAGCATGCACAAAGTTTGTACAAGCCCAAACCAGGTGGGGTCCCAGTGCTGAGAGGAGAAGAATTTATATACAGGATTTTTCAGGAATAAAAAATACCCCCCCCAAAAAAAAAATAAAAGAAAGAAGTGGTCTTGTGTTGTGGAATATTAGTTGAAGATGTGTTACATTTGTTTATGTTGTAGAACATTTGTTTAATGATGCAAAGGATATGCTGCATTTTTTAACTCTGTGAAGCTGTCTTAGCCTTTCTAAAACACTTGATTGGTCTAATA